GGCCTTTTCTAAGGATCTACTCAGCTATGTTAGGGCAACGTACACTCTGCTTTAAGACAAACTCTAAGAATTTAAGAACATTCAGCTGTCCCTGTCCTTGGTTGAATTGCAGAGTGATTTGTGCTTCAGCTGAACATGAAAATAAATAACATTGCTTTTAATTGGTGTGCTTTACAATCTTTGTTCCCATAATATAAAAATGTAACAATGAAAAACAGTATGTACAATAAATACTTTATGATCTTTTAAATGTGGTTAGGGCATATCTCTCATGAATGTCCATAAGGATTTTGCTCTTGCCTTTGAAGATAATATGCTTAGGCCTTTCACTATGAGTTTCAACTGATGAGTATGCCAATATCTATGTGTATGTACAGACAGTTAGATGGCTTTTACTCTGATCTGGAAGTGTGCTATGAATGCAGTTTTCCAAAATAAAGTGTTGTTTTTTCACAGATGGAGAAAATTGAGACATTGCAGAATTGTAGTAAATGAAGGGTTAAGTTTGAAGATTTTCCATTTAAGTCAATCATGAATATACTGGCTGTAATTTTGTTGGGTTCACTGTTGAAAATCCTGTGTGCTCTAAAGGTTAAAGTTACGGAAAAGTGTTTTGCTGCAGCAAGATCATAATAATTAAAAACTTAATGTATACATGAATGAAAACTATAATTTAAGCCATACTTCAGCTTAATTTCTATTTTCATTTGTTTGCCTGAACAATTTAATTAGGCACTGAGTCTGTGATTGAACAAACGACTTTAACATGTGCTTAGTGTTAATCATATGAACCCAGTGATGAAAGTTGGGCATATGCTGTTCAGCTGAGTTAGGGGTGAAGTTACCCAATCTGTACCATATCGTAGCCCAGTGATTTACACTGTCAAGTGCAGCTTTTGCCTACAAATCCTTTTTATGTCAACAAATGTTTAGATCTAGTTGATTCTGTCTTGGGGTAGGTTGTGGCTGAGATGATCTCTCAAACCCTTTACCAGTCTTGTCTTTGAAAAGTTAAGTAACAGAAGAATGTAAATACAAAAATTACTAGTGTAATTTGAAATATGTCCTTGAAAATTTGTTACTTATAATTGGATTTAAATTATGACATATCTGTAGGCTTACAGTAAGCATCCATTTTTGAAGTGATCACAGTTACCTTTCTCAATACTTCTGTGCTGTGCTTTTTTGCAATACTATTCTGTTGTGAAGTGCCACAGAGTTTGAAGGACCATAGAAGCATTTCTGTGGTTTTGCTGTTTCCTCTTAGTTTTGTTGTATGCACATCCTTTAGAATGTCTTGAAGTGCACAATCCCAAAGGCAGGGGCTATGATTCATGTTTGCTTTCTCTGGATGGTAGCTGTTGTAGGGGTGAGATGTCTCCAGGGGGAGAATAGAAAGGAGGGGCTTCTCCATGCATTGTTTTTGAATCAGTTGGGCATTGATTCAAAGGGGGTTTGGAACTAGATGATCTTTAAGGTCCTTTCTAACTCTAGCCATTCTGTGATTCTATTAATCTTCTCCTTTGGTTTGGGATAGTGCTTGCTACCCTCTGTGTGAAGTGCTCATGTCTGATAACCACTTTTGTGAAAGTGTCTCCTGAGCTGGATTATTACAATTCCTTAAACTGATCTCTGCAGTGGAGTAATTCAGTTTTGTTGAAGTTGAAATGTATCTTGCCTCTTATTTCAGTGGGTGAAGCACTAAGCCAACTCTGATTACTTTTCAAAACTGTACTGGAAAAGTATACTATATGGCATACTGTGCTGCAGGCACAGATTTCTGAATTCTTCTTTTGTTTTGCTTTCTAAAGGATTAGTGCTCAGATTTTCCTGGGTTTCAGCTTGAATTTAAGTTCTGCTATGTGGCTTACTGCAAGTGAGTTTATGAATCATTGTTATGGATTTTAAGTAATTATGTTGTCGTGCTGTTATTGAGATGCAGATTGACTCAGCTTTTAGTAATGTCAGCTTTTAAAAAAAAGATAATTTAGAAGCAGGGAACATAACAGTATTTCCTTTAACATCTGTGGGAGCATGAACTGCAACATCTCACTAATGGACAAACATACTTCATTAAAAGGTGACTAGCGGTTTTATTCCTTTGAAATAACAAAATAATTTGTTAGCACAGCCATTCAGTCTCAGGATAGTATTCTTTTCTGCATTTATTTTATTTTTATGTCTTTTAACTTAATACATTAAGTTTCAATCCACTTCAGGATTTCTAAGCTTATTTATAAATAAGGTGTTGTGTTGGGTGCTGTATTCCTGCAGTTCCTAAGATCACTCTGGTTAGAAACTTATCATGTCTTCACTCTTACAAGTAGCTATGACTGGGAGCTACTTATGGATCTGATGTAAAAGTCAGGTAGACTTTTAGACTATAATTCAAGTGCAATTGACATTTAGTTAGTTATATATGCTTTAATGCACTCTAGGCAATCCGTTGTTTTGATTTGAATTAGTTTGGCCACTCTGACTTTGATATGAGAAGGTCCTGATATCATGATGGAAGTCCTTATATCGTGATTACTTTAATCTAATTAATGAAAAGTCATTCATGAACAAGTAAACAGAATGGAAAATAAAATAATAATTTTTAAAATGGGTAAAAATTATGCTCTTCAAAGTGCTTTAATATTTTAAAGAATGTAAGTAATGGTTTGCATGTTAATGTAATGTTACACATTTGCAAGATAGAATCAGGAAGGAGAATAGATAAAGAAAGGTAGACTTAACTTTCATCAAAAAGGTTGTTTGACTTGCACATTCAGGTTGTTCAGTTAAAAATACAGCTTACTAGCAACAGGTAAGAAATTATGGGCCCAGATAGCTTTCTTCAAGTGTAATAAAACTAGCAATAGCCAGTGATAAAATTGAGATAATGATAGTGTAGAACACCGCTAGTCATTGCAAGATATAATATTACTGTAGAAGAGTAGCAATAGAGACCAACCTAATAAAAACAGAAGTTAGGGCTGGGCAAGCTATGTAGAAATATTCTTCTGTTGATTAAACTAAAGGTGCATTTGTCATGTGTAATCTTTTCTTGAATATATTAGTACTTTTCCAGACAAGATTTACAGGCAAGAATAATTTTTATTTGTAGGCAATTTATACTGACATGGTATGTAGCTTTCCAGCAAGACAACTGCCTTTGTTTGTACGGCCTTTTCTAAGGATCTACTCAGCTATGTTAGGGCAACGTACACTCTGCTTTAAGACAAACTCTAAGAATTTAAGAACATTCAGCTGTCCCTGTCCTTGGTTGAATTGCAGAGTGATTTGTGCTTCAGCTGAACATGAAAATAAATAACATTGCTTTTAATTGGTGTGCTTTACAATCTTTGTTCCCATAATATAAAAATGTAACAATGAAAAACAGTATGTACAATAAATACTTTATGATCTTTTAAATGTGGTTAGGGCATATCTCTCATGAATGTCCATAAGGATTTTGCTCTTGCCTTTGAAGATAATATGCTTAGGCCTTTCACTATGAGTTTCAACTGATGAGTATGCCAATATCTATGTGTATGTACAGACAGTTAGATGGCTTTTACTCTGATCTGGAAGTGTGCTATGAATGCAGTTTTCCAAAATAAAGTGTTGTTTTTTCACAGATGGAGAAAATTGAGACATTGCAGAATTGTAGTAAATGAAGGGTTAAGTTTGAAGATTTTCCATTTAAGTCAATCATGAATATACTGGCTGTAATTTTGTTGGGTTCACTGTTGAAAATCCTGTGTGCTCTAAAGGTTAAAGTTACGGAAAAGTGTTTTGCTGCAGCAAGATCATAATAATTAAAAACTTAATGTATACATGAATGAAAACTATAATTTAAGCCATACTTCAGCTTAATTTCTATTTTCATTTGTTTGCCTGAACAATTTAATTAGGCACTGAGTCTGTGATTGAACAAACGACTTTAACATGTGCTTAGTGTTAATCATATGAACCCAGTGATGAAAGTTGGGCATATGCTGTTCAGCTGAGTTAGGGGTGAAGTTACCCAATCTGTACCATATCGTAGCCCAGTGATTTACACTGTCAAGTGCAGCTTTTGCCTACAAATCCTTTTTATGTCAACAAATGTTTAGATCTAGTTGATTCTGTCTTGGGGTAGGTTGTGGCTGAGATGATCTCTCAAACCCTTTACCAGTCTTGTCTTTGAAAAGTTAAGTAACAGAAGAATGTAAATACAAAAATTACTAGTGTAATTTGAAATATGTCCTTGAAAATTTGTTACTTATAATTGGATTTAAATTATGACATATCTGTAGGCTTACAGTAAGCATCCATTTTTGAAGTGATCACAGTTACCTTTCTCAATACTTCTGTGCTGTGCTTTTTTGCAATACTATTCTGTTGTGAAGTGCCACAGAGTTTGAAGGACCATAGAAGCATTTCTGTGGTTTTGCTGTTTCCTCTTAGTTTTGTTGTATGCACATCCTTTAGAATGTGAACTCTTTCATGTTTTTTCTGTCTCGGCATAGTGCTGGTCTGCTGCGTGTGTGCTTTTCAGCACCATTTTAATTAGATGAGATGGCAGAGAAAGGCACGACAGCTGTGTTCATCCGAATGACAACTCCCTACCAGAGGGTCTTTTCTCTCCAGACTGCCTTCTTGCACTTGATCAACATTCACTTAATTTCATGGCTGGTTTAGCTAATGTGGAGGCAGCTCACCTTACTGCAAATTTCAGCTTTTGAGAGGCAGGTTTTCTCCATGTTCTAAGTTATTTCTTGGCTTCTTTCTTTCTCCCTGACAGACAATGCAGTGCTTGCATTTTGTTTCTTATAACCAGTAATGTCACAAAGTTAACAGTCACATGCAGTCCTCTTTAATGTATAATTTACTACAATATAAATTATTTTTATTTATATATATTTTTTTTAAACAGGCAAAATACACTTTGGATTACTTATAGAGTTTGGATTGATATCCATCATAGCTGTGGGTCTGTAAAAACATACTTCAATTACATTAACTTCTTAAGAATGAATGGGAGGTCATGCAGTATGAGCCACTGGACAACAGGTATTCCTTATGGACCTAGAATGATCAGTGGACAGCAAATCCTACCTATCAGAGTTCATGCAGGAGCACCCTGCCTATCTTCAAATAGCAGCAGCCCAAGCCCAGTTTTTGGAAACTTGTCTGCCAGCCTGCACTTAAAGATGCCCCTTGGAGGAGTGATATCTCCTCAGAGCAAAGCCACTGACAGTACTATTAACTTTCCTGTTAGAAGTATCAGGAAACAAGTGGTTGGTATGTCTTTACTGCAAGTCCCACAGCCCCCAGGACTGCCAGTCCCTCAGACTTTAAAGCCAAAACAGCAAGAATTTGGAAATACATTCTCCCCATGTACAGGTGAAGGTAGATTACTTTTCCTATCGCTACTCATAAAAGCATTTCTTCTCCACTGTCACCTACCCGGATAGTATTGGTTTTAGTAGATGGAATCCAGTCTCTTCTTTGTCAGTTTCTTACTACAAAGGAAGAGCTACTGAAAGAAAATGTTTTACTATTTTCAAAAAAAAGTAATTAAATGTTGTATTATTACTAGGGGCTTTGTGTTACACAGCAGTTGCTCAGAATCCCCGAGTTGTCATAAGATTCTTGACAAATGGTGTAGTTTGACTTCATTTTGCTAACCTAACCTCCTGACTCAACAAATCCAGATGGTCATTTTATGTTCTGTGACACCGGAATTTTGTGAGTGCTATCGGAAGTACTCCTCCTTGGATGCATGAACAAAGCTTTCCACTGGTGACTAACAGTTGCTTACTGATGAAAGCATCAATGTAGTCATGTTTTTTAGACTGCTTAGGCCGGACAAGCTGTAAAACCATTTGAAGCCTGTCTCAAACATAGATTTGCAACCCAATTTTTGGAACTACTCTATATGCTGTAGAAGATGATGTGGAGGCTGATGTTCTGTGAGTAAGTCCTTGTGTATCAGAGATTGACCTATCTATAAGAAAGTACGTGACTGTCTGCTCTTGGGTGTTTGAAGTTGAAAGTTAACTGCATGCCTAAGTGGTCTGCTGAGTCAGACCAGGAGTAATGCATATACATATTCATTGCATGACCTCTGAGAGCACTTGTCTGGTGCTTGCTTTGGTGGTTATGGTGAGAGAGTAATTCACAGCATGTAGCTCTAAGCTTCTGTTACAGCAAAGAGAGGTGGACTCCTCACATGGTAAGCTTAAGAGGAACTTTTCTATTCCTCTCTCACTACACGTAGAACCTCTTCAGAATTACATGCCTAAAAACAGGGAATCCATGATGGGGCCTCTAAAGTAGCCTCTAAAGTAGCCCTGCATAACAGCTAATCCACTTGCAATATGTGTTGGAGAGCAGCATCTCGGGGGGAAGAGAATGTCAGCTAGTTTAATGTCCTTGGTTTAGGGATTTTGATCTGCTGTGCCTGATTGCTCTATTCCTAGTTGCTGTCATTTCCATCTTTCCTTCTTGGTCTGATTAGCTCTCACATATGTAAAACAGTCTGCTATTTTGAGAGATAGGTAGTAGAGAATTCAGCTGAAGGGCTGGCATTAAGAAAGCCTCTGTATCAACAGTGCTGGTTAGACAAGGTACTGTGGACTCCAGATACAATGGACTTCAGATTCTGTGTTTCGATGGATTAGTATTAGTAATTCTTTTTGCTTTAGAATTCTTAGCAGCACAGCCAGAGCAGACATTATGCATGCTGGAAAGGTACCCAATATGGAAAAGCTAAGTCTCATTCACTTGGTCATGTCCAGTTAATTTTCTAGGGCTTTGAACTTTCTTATGTACTATAAAGCCTAGCATGCATGTAAACAAGACTGTAAACTTTATAAAACTTTTCATGTAGCTTATGCTTGTTCAGCTCTTTCACACTTTGTCCTTTTCTAATGATGGGTACATAGAGGAAAATGTAATTTAGTAGGTGGTTATTTTAGCTAAATCTTCATCTCAAGAAGACAACAGTTTACAGTTGTTTCAGTATCAACTATAGAGGTTTGCTTTGGTTGTTCATTTCAAAACTTCGGATGGTAAAAGCAGCAAGATACACAACAAAATGTCTTGTTGGTGTTTTGGAATAGTTTCCCTGCATCTTTCAATAATGGATAAAACAGTTAAAAAGAAAACCCCAAAACTGACCTTCATTGTGGGCTGGAGGAAAGAACAGAATATTTTGGGGCAATCCAATTGTATGCCTTGTGTTTTTACAGTTTCAGGTTTTTTGTTTACAGTGCTGCTGGGTGCACAAAAAGAGAACAGTAATAATGTACAGTCAGTAACCACAATATGCAGAGTCTTTACTTCGCATGACGACTCTCTTTATCTTGTATAATATTGAAAAGCTTTGAAAGGATATGGGTTTTAGAAAGGATGCCATATAAGTCACATTAAGAGAAACTGTTCCACTTTTGTGCATGATGTTAACCTGGAGCACATTGTCCTATGTTACTGTATGGAACAAAAATGCGAGTCTGAACATGCACTGGTTACATCTCTGACTTCAGTTACTTTCCTGCCTGCGTGGTACTGATGGTATAATATGCTTTTTGAATACTATGTTGTGCATATGAAAAAGAAAATAGTGTAATGGTACATTTTTATGAGGACATAAAAATATGCTAGTACAGTGGTTTGGTTTTTTGTTTGTTTTTTTTTGACAGGGGTATACACTTTTGTATTTTCACACAGAAGTCAGGTGCAAAATGCAGGCCTAATAGTACCCGTATTTGGCACTGGAAACCTATAGTCTCTCTTCTTGTTTGGTGTATGTGTATATGACCACTTTTTATGAATAAGCACTTTCACACCTTGCAGGGTTACTTAGGCCTAGAAAGACATAGTTACTGGTAGTATCTGCTGAGGTGAAAGTGAGCTAAAGAGATATCAGGCAAGAATGAGCAGGAAGGGGAGAAAGGGTGCGAACTGTAAAGGAAGGCACAATACCATAACCTGGTCAGTACTGGTCTTTATTTTCTCTTATCAATGCAGATCTTTTGACAGAGCCTTGCAATGAAAAATAATGTCATTTTTTAAATCCAGCTTTCTACTCTGTGTTCAATTGAGTGTAATTTTTTAAAGTATATAAGTTTCAAATAGTTCAAATTATAACTGTGATCTAAATGTAGTAATGTCCAAAAGTTACAGATTCAAGGATTTATGACCAGCATATCTGCACTTTATACTCATTGGAATCATATTTCGTTTTCTGGAAAACCTAGTCGCTGTTCTTATTGCTTGCCTTACTCAGTCCTGTGTAGGCAATGGACTTGTAGGTGTGAGCTGGACTATGTTCAAGCACATCCCAGGTGTTCTCATGTAGTAATAAAAATCCCAAATCTTTTTGAAGACAAGACATACTTTCTGAAAGGACCAATATATTCAACACCTTTACTGTTTTTTCTTACTTAGTGAATGAAAACATGTTTTTTAAGTCCATCAAGAGATATTGAAGACAAACATATTTCTGCTGGTGTAGGTAGTTGCAGAAGACAGCCATGGAAGTAGTTCTGGAGGACACCTTATAGTTTTACCTCAATGTTATTTGTCAGCACCAGTGGGGAGAGAGTCCTGCTGGGGGAGTTGGATCCTTCCTCTGAATCACTATCATACTTAACACCTGTATGGCAGTTCATTCCAAGTTTAAGAGTGAACTTCCTGTCCTGTAAGACAATATATCGTAGTCTTAAAGTGGCTTGGATTTGGCCGATGGAGAATTTCCTCTGTGACCAAAATACCATGCTGAGGTGCTGTTTGTGGAGGTGGTGCAACTGCTGCATCTCCAGGCACCATGCTTCATAACCTGGCGGAGATGTCCGACAGGGACGTGTGCCGGAGAGAGGCAGCCTCTAGGCTGCTTGCTTTGATCTTCCTTGTTCTGACCGTGTGGCTTATTGACACTATTGTGACTTACTGACCTGGTATGTCTGGCAAGACTTTCTGGTAATTTTGAGCAGCTCTCAGTCGTGACAGCCACAGCGATCTCCTCATATCTCCCATTCTCCCTGGCATGAGGTGGCATTGCACGTGTCAGTGTGGATGTGAACTGCACATGGGCAGTTCAAGCCTTGGAAGCCAATCTGACCTTCTGTTCCACCCTGTCTGCTCGCTCCACTAAACCACATGTGGGTGTGCGACTGTGACTCTGTTATAGCTATGAAGAATTGACATGAAAATGCTTGAGATGGGACTTGAAGTAGCAAATCTGGACCTTTGTTAGAAAGAAACGCAGAAACCTCTGCAGGTAGGCATGGACCTCTTTTGTTCTCCTTTCCAGGTCCACTGAAAAGACAGCTGTCGTCTTCCATTTCTGTGGTCTCTGCAGTGTTAAGTTTGTTCCTTGACATGAAAATAATGAAAATTTTCATGCAAATATGACTGTAATTTTTCTCTAGTAAAACAAATAAACTACTGTTCATGTGTAAGGTGGGAGTATTTCCTTTTGGAGATTATTAAGGCTCTTCCTCCTCCTGGAAATTGTTGACAGGCATTAAATCTTGGGGTTCGAATGAGTTGGGGTTGGGGTTGTTGTGTTTGGTTTTTGTTTGTTTTTATATTTGGGGTATGTGGGTGTGTGTTTTGTGTTGTTGATTTTTGTTGTCTTTTTTTTCTTTGGTTGTATTTTTGGTGGTTGTTGTTGGGTTTTTTTGGTGGTGTTTCATTTGTTTGTTTGTTTTGTTGTGTTGTTTTTTTCCCTGGCGGCTCTGGAAGAAGACACAACTCTAATGCTGCTAAGCCATGTGAGAAGTGTGAACTTGGTTAGGGGGCTCATTTGTCTCCAGTTGCCAAGAAAGCCTTGTTTCACTTTTGAACAATCACCACACAGGTCTGTGCAGAGTGTTATATACAGAACTGTTAATCAGTAAGCTTCTTGAGCCACACTTGAAATCTCTTTAACACACTTGTTTTGCTCTCTACTGCTGTTGTTTTTGTGTGTCAGTTGGCGCAGTCTGAAAAAAGATGTTCATCAGTATTCTGTGCAGTTGCTTACGCAGAAAACTTGACTCAGGACTTGTTTTCTTTTTCATTTGTTTTCTATAATCAATACTCAGCAGTTTTAAAGCCTAGTTATTGATGATGTTTAGGTACAGCAAAGTGATTAAGTCATAATGATCCTAGTTTTATCCAGCATAACACATTTTCCAGCTTTGTGTATGCTTCAGTGGCCTTGATATGCTCGAAAAACAACACAGGATCCCTCAAGGCAAGGAAATAGTTACTTGCAGCTCCGGCAGTTGTTGGTGAAATCCATTCTGAAGACAGTAGGGTTGGGTCTTGGTGGATTTTTTTGTCTGGTCTAGGACATTACAAAAGGGCATAACTGAGATCGCTCAACTCCCTGAGTTTAGTTCTGCAATTCAGAACATGCA